ATCATTCTAATATGCTGATTTATTATCAATGTTGGAAACAGTTGTGATATTTAATATTAAGCACAACTGCATTTATTCAAAATATAAATCTTTTCTAAGAATATAAGTCTTTACTATCACATTTATCAATTTAACACATCTTTGCTGAATAAAAATATTAATTAATAAAAAAAAAGAAATAAAAAATAAAAATACTGACCCCAAACTTTTGAACAGTAGTGTATTGCTTCTTATATACACTGAACAGAATTATAAACGCAACACTTTTGTTTTTGCCCCCCATAACTTGTATATTGGAGTAATAATGATGAAAATTCAGCTTTGCATCACAGAAAAAAAAAATACTTTAAAGTATATTAAAATAGAAAAGCGTTATTTTAAATTGTAATAATATTTCACAATATTACAGTTTTTTTCTGTATTTTTGATAAAATAAATGCAGCCTTGATGAGCAGAAGAGACTTCTTTCAATTAAATATTTGCGTAAAGAAAAAAACAAACAACCTTCCTTATAATAGACTTTTATAATTTCGTTCTTTCATTTGTTTTTGTGGTGAAATATGACTGGGCCGTGTTCTTGACAGGCTTGAAATTCAGCCCCACATAAAATATCTGTGTGGAACATTCCTCTGGTGTTTGGCTGTCAATGAAGTCATGCAATGAATGAGGAGGAGGCGTTTTTCTGTCTGTGGGCCGTCTATCGCTGCATTCTGCACATTCTGTGTCCATGCATGTTGTTGAAAATGTTCATCTTAAAGGGACAGTTCACCCAAAATGGAGAATTCTGTCATGATTTACTCACCGTCCTGTCGTTCCAAACCTGTTTGTGACCCTGGAGCACAAAAGCAGTCTTAAGTCGCTGGGGTATATTTGTAGCAATAGCCAACAATACATTGTATGGGTCAAAATTATAGATTTTTCTTTTATGCCAAAAATCATTAGGATATTAAGTAAAGATCATGTTCCATGAAGATATTTTGTAAATTTCCTACCGTAAATATATCAAAACTTAATTTTTGATTAGTAATATGCATTGCTAAGAACTTCATTTGGACAACTTTAAAGATTATTTTCTCAATATTTAGATTTTTTTGCACCCTCAGATTCCAGATTTTCATATAGTTGTATCTCGACCAAATATTGTCCGATCCTAATAAACCATACATCAATGGAAAGCTTATTTATTCAGCTTTCAGCTGATGCATACATCTACATTTTTAAAAATGGACCCTTATGACTGGTTTTGTGGTCCAGGGTCACATATGACTGCAGAACACAAAAGAAGTAACTAAACCACACTGACATCCACTGTATGGACAAAAAACACGGAGAGATTTCAAAACATATGTCATACAGTTATATAATAAAGAATGTCATACAGTTGTGAAATTACAGATTATTGTGTAACACAAGTTACGCTTACAGGTCATTCCTCAAATATGTATATATGTTCATTCATTCACACAGGCGTCAGGAGCTTCGAGATCTGCGTCTGCTGCAGAAAGAGCAGCATCGCGCTCAGGCTTTGCTCAATCTGAAGCTGAAAGAGCAGCGGGAGCAGATGCAGCGCAGATTCGACCAGGAGATGAATGTGAGTCCCAGCGGTCTCTAGACAAAATTAAATATCTTCCCATCAAGGCTAGACACTAGACCAGGAGATGAATGTGAGTGTCTCCGACATCCACCACGCACAGCACTCTCTAGACATTATGAAGATCAGGATGAGATTGTTTCTTCATCAGATCTGGAGAAATGCAGCATTGCATCAGTGTCTCTGCAGTGAATGGGTGCCATCAGAATGAGAGTCCAAACAGCTGATAAAAACATCACAATAATCCACAAGTAATCCACAGCACTCCAGTCCATCAGTTAACGTCTGGAGAAGACAAAAGCTGAAACAAATCCAGCATTAAGATGTTTTTAACTAAAACACGAGCCCATAATCCATAACGCTTCCTCCAGTGAAAAAGTCTGAATCAGGAGAGAAATCTGCACAGATCAAACACCGTATAAACAGTCCAAAACGGCTCTAAACGTCAATGCTTTTGTCTTCTCAAGATGTTAACTGATGGACTGGAGTGGTGTGGATTATTGTGATGTTTTTATCAGCTCTCATTCTGACGGCACCCATTCACTGCAGAGCATCCATTGCTGATACACTGATGCAATGCTACATTTCTCCAAACCTGATGAAGAAACAAACTCAACCACATCTCAGATGAACTGAGGCTATATATGTATATATAAGTTAGGATGGGTTAATTAAAGAGTGCATTATTTCTGGGAGAGGAGAAAATCTTAAAATATTGCTAATATTACACGTAAAATGCTAATAAATAGTGCTTATATCTCACTGTGCGGCTTTGCTCGCAGGCCAAGAAGAAATACTACGACACCGAGCTGGAGACGCTGGAGAAACAGCAGAAGCAGAGCATCGAGAGAATGGAGATGGAGCACACGGTTCGACTGCGAGACGAGGGCAAACGCATCCGCGCCGAGCAAGACAAAGCCTTCAACAAGTTCCTGGACCAGATGAAGCACCGCAAGAAAGAGGCGAGACACGGAGTTATACGAGCCCTAGAAAGCACACTTGAGCCACATTTAATTTCAGTGATGTTTCACAAAACAGACAGTAATAAATTAAGACTTTATTGGTAATAAATTGAGTTTCCAATTATAATAATGAAATAAACCGATGAATATTTTTAAGTGTGTAAATAATATTCTAGAACTTCTAGAAGTGATGTTAAGAAGGCCGTCAAGCATGATATAACTATAAAGTTTTAATAATCTAAGAAAGTCCACAACTATAACAATAACGACAAAGACGAACAGTATTGTTGGAATAATTTTCAGAAGGATGAAAACCACGAGAATCCAGCATTTAACAGTAAAATCTGACCTGTATTTTTTTTTATAAATCTAGCATCACTGTTTATGAAAGATTTTATTTTTTTTTATTTTTTTTTTTAAGATAACAAAGATAAGACGAAACAGAAAAAAAAAAATTAAGAAGTGTTGATAAAAATATGACAGGATTTTTATTTTTTTTTCTTCTAAAGAAGAGTACACATTTAGAAGCAATATGGTTGATTTAAAAAAAATGATTTAAAAATTGAGTTAATGACTATATATTGACAATTTATAGGAAGCTTATAGGACGTAATTTATATGTTATTAAATTAAAAAATAACACATGATTAGAGGTTCTGTGTGATCTCATAATATATTCTTGCATAAAATATAACAAGCGTAAGTCAACATTATTATGTTTTACAAAAAAGAATAAAACACTTGTATCTTTATTTCGTCTCAGGTCAAACAAGAAGTGGAGAAAATGCCCAGGAGTCAGAGGAAAGACAGTATGAAGATCAAAATGAACAACTTCCAGCAGATGAAATCAGACGAGGTCAGTTAAAGACTTAAAGCTGTGTGTGCAAAAACTGAACTGAACTGCTAAAAGGTTTGTGTGTCGTCTCTGCGCAGGAAGAGAAGTTCCTGGCAGACCAGAGGGATTTTCTGGACTCGACTCTGAAGAGCATCATTGCTCAAAACAAGCGGGAAATCTCCGAGACGGAGCGCCAGTGTCTCATCAAGAAACAGAATCTGCTCCGAGGTATAAATGCACTCAGACCCGACCATCCTTACCTTTTACGTAGACTGCATGCTTACAAGCCGAGTGCTGCTGTCGTCTGTCAGAGCGAGAGGCCACTGTGTGGGACCTGGAAGAGAAGAGCTTGCACGAGAGACACCAGCTCCTCAAACAGCAGCTGAAGGACCAGTACTTCCTGCAGAGACACCAGCTCCTCAAGAAACACGAGAAGGTCTCAGTGATGCTTAATCTTTACTCCTTTTCCATTCACACGGTGCTGGTACCCATCTGAGAGATCTGTGAAAGTCTTTAGAGGCAGCCTGCATTTCCACCGACTCGACGAGCAATGACTGACTGACTGCATTACTGCCTGTGATGCTCTCTGTTTGATGAGAAAACCTGGAAATAAAATAAAATAAAATAAAATAAAATATTAAATAAATAAATAAATAAAAATAAAATAAAATATTAAATATTAAATAAAATATTAAATATAAAATAAAATAAAATATAAAATAAAAAAGTAAAATAAAGTAAAATAAAATAAAATAAAAAAGTAAAAATAAAATAAAAAAGTAAAATAAAATAAAAAAAATAAATAAAATAATAAAAAGTGTTGTCCAGACCTGGATAAGTCATGTAAATTGTTAATTTATTAATGAATATTCATTTCTTTTAGACATTTTTAAATGCATTTCTAATTATTCTCTGATTTAAATTACTTTTTAGGTTAAACATTAATAACAGTTATTATTACTGTTGATTAGAGTAAAATTTGCTCATTTTGGTATTTTTCTTTTCAATGATTCAGTCGAACTGGTTCACAAATCAGTCTGAATTAGTAAATTATTAAATTATTATTAATGAAAATGAAAAATAAATAAATAACTTAAACTGAACTACAACTAAAAACTAAAAATAAATAAACTTAATCAATAATAATAATAACACAAGCATATAGCGAAATTACAAAAAAATTAAGATAGAATTAAAATAAAAACTGAAAATATAAAGATAAAAGCTAATTCAAAATATAAATAAAAATATAATAGTATATAAATAATATATACCTTGGCAACTAAGTTGAGGCACTAAAATTACTAACAGGAAAAACTAAAACTGAAATACAACTAAAAATAAATGAAGCCAATAAAATATTTTCTTAAAATCTTTTCTAAAAATAACATTAGCACATATCAAAATTACTAAAAATTAAACGAATATTAAAATGAAAATATAAAAATAAAAGCTAATTCAAAATATTGGGGAAAAAAATGATAATAGTATATAATAGAGTAAAAGAGTCCGTTTTAGTGAATCAGTCATTAGCAAAACTGAATTAAATTTTTTTTCAAACAGAAAAATCATGCCTTTTTTGGTCAAAAAGCATTTTGTAGCTTTGTATCGTCGAGTTCTCTTTTGTGCTTTAGTTGTTTTTTAGACTTTAGCCTCACGTTAGCAGTTCCTGCATCAAAGACATCAGGTTTATCTGAAGAGTGCAGAATGGGGTCAGATTGGGCTCCGGCACCCTGCGGGGGGGAAAGGTGCTGTATGTTAGCGCTCTGACACTGTGTGTGCTGTCACAGGAGCAGGAGCAGATGCAGTGCTACAACCAGCGTATGATCGAGCTCCACAAGGCCCGACAGCAGCAGGAGAAGAACAGGCTGCCCAAGATCCAGCGCAGCGAGGCTAAAACACGCATGGCTATGTTCAAGAAGAGCCTGAGGATCCACTCCAGCGGAAGCTCTGCAGAAGACCGCGAGAAGACCAAGCAGGTAAAGCGTGTCCCCGACGGCCATACAGTATGTGTCCTCCTCTCGGAGACCCTCATCTCTCTCTCTGTTCAGTTCTCCAGGCTGGAGGAGAAGAGGCAGAAGGCCGAGCGCTTGCACCAGCAGCAGAAACACGAGAACCAGATGAGGGAGAGGATCAGCGAGTGCGAGGGAAACGCCAGAGAGCTGCAGCAGCTGCAGGTGAGCACAATGTTTCGTGCAGGTGTTTTTAAAAGCTGTTCGCATTCGTCGTGTAGAACACAAAAGATGATATTTTTTTGTTTGGTCTAGGGGTTTAGGCCAGAGACATCCTTGTACAGTATGTGCCAGAATACACTTTAAATAAAACATGTTTACATTGGCTAATGCATGCCTTTATTTAAACAAATTTTTTTTAGGAGCACTTGTATACATGCATTTACACTGCACTTACAAATTGCATGAATAATGTTATGAGATTAATGTTTTAAATATGAAATTTAAAATAGTAAAGTTAGTGCTGTCAAACGATTAATCGCATCCAGAATAAAAATTTTTGTTTACATAATATATGTGTGCGTACTGTTTATATTTATTATGTATATATAAATACACACACATGCATGTATATATTTAAGAAAAATATTTACATGTATATACATATATATTTATTTTCATACATTTATATTATATATAAATATTGTATATATATATATATAAACAAAAAATATTGGTCTTAAATATATACATGCATGTGTGTGTATTTATATATACATAATAAATATAAACAGTACGCACACATATATTATGTAAACAAAAATGTTTATTTTGGATGCGATTAATCGCTTGACAGCACTAAAAAAAAAATAGAATGATGCTTTTAAATATGAAACTCAAATTGCCAGTAGGTGGCGACAAGCCACTGTCTTAATGAGCGAGTCGTTGAGTCATTTATTCAATCGATTCGTTCAAAACGGCTGATTCATTCAGGAATGAAGTAAGAAACTGTTTTATGGTCAGTGAATCGATGCTTCATTTGATTTGTTAAAAAATGCTAATTATTTCAATAACAAACCATTTTCTTTAGCTAAATAGAGCAAAAAAAGACAATATTGTCTCTACAATTTAAGTCACTTAATATTAACTTCTTGTTTATTGAATTGTTGCCCTGACATGAAGAAAATCCACCACAGACCATGCTAACCAAACTGTTCATATAATCGCTCTAAATGCATGTGTTTTTCTATGTAAACGCGCTAGACGGACGTGAATGGCGGTTGTGTTCGCTAGGGGTGTGCCATATCATACCATCCACGATGATACCGGTATAAATTTTTACATGATAAAAAAGTGTCATATCGCGATATCAATGATATAGCGACGCGATGACGTATGGCAAAGCGGCGCAGAGAGCCGCTTCTGGGCCGCTTCTGAAACGTGGCGCGGCACCGCTGGTGTAAACACAAGCATTGACTAGAGTGGCCGCGTCAGAGCCGTAGCGCGCCGCAGTGTAAATTAGGGGTAAATAAGGGATAAGTCACTCTCGCGGTATTTTAACGTCATACGTCATCGGTCTGCTTCAAGTCGAACACACAGCTGCTGCTGCCACCTTATGACAATAGATTTACACTTGGAATTAGGTAGTCTGTCATCGATGACAGTAGCTCATTGGAAAAGGATGGAAAATGCCCTTCATTGTGTTTGCACTAATAAATGCTGCTGCCTGCCAGCTGCAATCACCAATAAAACGTTGTTCCATTCTATATCGTCATAAATATCGCTGTCGCAAATATTCTTGAAATATCGTGATATAATTTTGAGGCTATATCGCCCACCCCTAGTGTTCACATCTTTTGCAGCGTCTCGCACATGAGTGCTGCGTTTTTAAGATGGCGTGTCAATTTAAAAGAATTTCAACTTTAACAAGCAGCGCCACTCATCAGTGTCAGTTCCAAAACAGTGGACCAATCAGAAGAGCCCGGAGGCGGGGCAAGCGTCACAAGCTTTTGTTTACACTAGCAAGTTGGCATGGCAACTGTTTTATTTGATGGCAGAGCCGTGAGGAACAATTAATGGACCCTTTTCACAAGACGTTTAACGGTCATCAGCATCATAAATCCTCGAAAGTTTTTCATATTTGTATTTTTAAAAAAATGTATGTACATTTATAACACTATTCTTTGTATTATATTACCTTTGCATCAAATTACAAAAATACTAGTTAACGCTAATGCGAGGGTGATACTAATGCAGCGTCTATGGGAGGGACGGTAAATTTGACATCGTTCTCTTTTCTAAACAGCAATTATCAGTCTCTCTCAATTTTTTTCCCTTTTATTGAAAGTCATGAAAACACTATCATGGAGTTTTTCTTTTGCTATTTGAGCAAATGGGAATGCAAAAAATATATTTGTGGTACTCTCCCATTCTCCGCTCTTCAAATTAACCCAACTATGATGACTTCCGCTGCTGAGAAACCCGGAAATGTGAAAAAGGTCCATAGAAATTAGCATGAAAACTCAGTGATGATGTGCACAAAGCATGGTAATAAAAACATTCGGCGCCGCTAGTTTGGACCCCGATGTCATCTAACTTATTTTGTGTTCCACATGGCAATCAAAAATTACTGATTTTTATTTATTTATTTATTTTTTCAATGAAATGAATGTGCTATATTTTAGTTTGATAATGCTATTTAATATTTTGTATTGTTGTGGAATTTATGGTACTAATTTATATTCATAGAATAGCTATGATCCATTTATTACCTGTTAAATATTTTTTGAGCATAGACCTGAAAATGAAATTTCCATCTTAAACTTTTGTAAATCTTCAATGCTTTAGAGCACAGACTTACGTTTGGTCTTTTTTTAATTTATTTTTTTATTTTAAAGGAGACACTTTTATTATTGCTGAAGTGACAAAACGTACAAAAAGTGAAAAAAAAAAAGAAAAAAAAAAGATAAGTGTATTATTATGAAAAATGCACAAAAATACTATTTTTAAATTTGATATAAAATATATATTTTCCAAAACATGTTTTACTTTAAAACTGCTAAAAATTAAAAGCCGTAAATCTAAACAAAATGTGTTCCGAATTTGAGGTTGATATCACAAAAAATGTCAGACTTGGTTTGGTTCGCAGTACCAAAGGTTTCTGCTAGATGAAAATCCTTTTCCATTTGTTTCCAATGCAAGTCTGACTATTTTTTCAGGACTGTTTAACCTTTTCAATTCACATCCATGAGTTTTGTTTGTGTTCACATGCCAAGTGCCAAAACCTTTACCAAGTTTCGTATCATTCAGGTGAAGCAAAAAAAATCAAACAGCAAAAGAGGTGTTTTTGCTTTTGTGTGAAGTTACAAATAATGTTACGCAGCAATTTTCTGTCATCTTTGTTGGAATGTATGAAGATTAAACAAATGATCATACATATTTAACAGCTCTGTGAGTGAACCGCACATAACAGGCACATACGTAAATATCTACAGACACAATATGCATCAAACGAGTAATCATGCGTCTTTGTTTTCAAATCCCTCACACTACAATAGTAGTGTTTTCAAATACACTTTCACATTCAAGCTCGGTCAAAAAAAAAACACTCTTCAGTGTGGACGGAGGGGAAACGATGCATTTGAGATGTGTCCGTGTTAGTGTGCTCGTAGCCTGATCCGTGTGAATGTCTCCTGCAGAATGAGAAGTGTCACCTGCTGATAGAAAACGAGACGCAGCGTCTGAAGGCTGTGGATGAGCAGCACAACCAGCAGCTGAAGGAATGGAGGGAGCACCTCAAGCCCAGGAAGAAGGTCTGACTTACTCGTGCGAATCTAGAGACGAGGCTGGCTCATATTTCACCCGGACATCTAAATACACAAATACATTACAGTATTACACTACAGTTCAGCGGTTTGAGGGAGGTGAGATTATGAAGTCTCTTCTGCTCACCAAGACTGTGTTTGATCAAAAACACAGGAAAAAAGTAACATTGTTAAATATTACAATTTCAAATGCTGTTTTCTATTTTAATATTAGGCCCGTCAGGTTTTTGATGAATCATGTGATTACAGTTATTTGATCAAATTGCTATTATATTAATTATATTATATTATATTTATTATATTATATTATATTATTACACAGCTCACATATTCAGGTTTGCTGGGCTCCATTGTCCATGTAAAATGGACCAAGAGTAAAGACATTTTAACTTTTAAAATATTGTTTTCACAGCATTAAAGAAAATCATGTGGGCCTATTTAATTATATATTTCGAAGTAAAATACATATAAATAATATATATAAAATAATAATGTATTTGGCTTACAAATATTGGCTCATTGCATTGAACAAAGACAATTAAATAATTAATCAATTAATTGTCAGCACAAAATTCATGATCATGACAGGCCTATTTAATATATAGTAAAATATAATTTATTGCTGTGATCAAATCTGAATTTTCAGCATCATTACTCCAGTCTTCAGTGTCACATGATCTTCAGAAATCATTCTAATATGCTGATTTAGAAACATTTCTGATTATTATCAGTGTTGAAATCAGTTGTGCCGCCCAATAATTTTGTGGAAACTGATACATTTTATTTTTCAGGATTCACAGATGAACAGAAAGTTCAAGTTATCTTCTGTCACATTACAAAATGTCTTTACTGTCACTTTTGATCAAGTTCATTGCTGAAAAAAAGTAAATTAATGAAAAAGATTAATTGATTAATTAAAAGAAGTATATACACACATTATGACACAATTAAGCACTTTTCTCCTCAAATTCTCATCATTACTGTTATGCATCTACATGTTTTATTTTTTATTACAATTTCTCATTTTAATTTATAGTCATTTTACTCACAATATTAAATGACTGCAATTTGTTTATCATATAAAGGCATAAAAGCAATAGAACAACTTGTACAGTGATATAAAAGCATTACTGTTTAAATGATAGAGAGGGAACGCGTGTTTAATTGTGAGTTATTGACTGATGACAATAAACATCAGTCGACTGTAGAGTTGAAGTGTGATGTGTTTCTGTCTCCTCTCTCAGGTTCTGGAGGAGGAACTGAACCTGAGGAAGAAAGAGCAGGAGCTTTTCTTCAAGATGAGTGATGATTCCCAGTGTCAGAGCGTCGGCTCACCAAACAAAGTCACGAGGTTCCTGCCGTACATCGACTCGTCCACCACATGAGCTCCTGCTTGTCATTTAGGGTCGCCACACTTTTCTGGAGGCGTAGGCGGATTTGTCTGCAAGTGCACAGGAACAAAGCAGCAGCGCAGCACAGTCACCTGAAACAGCATTCAGATCCGCTTTATTCGTTTAATAGCATGAGATGAAAGTGCATAGATGCATTCATTTAAATGAGGGCATTGAACTGCATGACTAGGACAGCTCTGACAGACTCGCTTGCCTTAGTTTATTTAAACGTTTTAAAAGTTAGTTTAATTGTATTGCCAAATATATTGTACAAACCTTGCATGTTCTTATGTTTTTATTTTTTCTATGATCAGTTAATATATGCATAAATATATATATAAAGTTGCAACTTATCCCTTTTCTTTTATAACCAGTTTCCTTGTACAAATATTTAGATGCTGAAAAAAGGAACTTATGAAAAAGTGTACATTTTAATTGGTACATTGTCATTTTACCGAGTGTTTTTGTTGTTTTATGTATTAGACAGCAACTAATTTGCCACTTTTATTATTCTGCAGTGTTTATTGTCTGCCACTGGCACATTTACTGTAAATGCATCACACTGGACGAGACGAGAGCAACTCCAGAAATGTGTTTATGCATGTTTTCTCTAGTTTATTATTGATAATTTTTTATATGTTGCTGTCTGATACTGTCACCTAACCAAAGTGCAATATGTTGTTGTGCTCCGATTTTAAACGCGTGTTATTTTACATCAGCTTCCAGTCTTTAGCCATTTGAAGGATTTATATTTTCAAAAGCGATACCTGAAGCCTGAAGGTATGAGGATTTACGTCTTTTTTTTTTAATGTCTGTGGAGCACAGTGTTGATCGTTCCTTTCTGAGTCTGTAACTCTGAGTAACCAAAGCTTCAGTGTGGATGATGAGAAACTGTTTAGAGTATCTATAATAAATGAGATGTTTATCTTTTAGTTTTGATCATTTTCTTTGATTTACATTTTATGGAATAGCTATTTTAGCTCAAAAAAAGACAATTCTGTCCTCATTTACTCACCCTCATGTTGAGTTTCTTTCTTCTGTTGAACACGATAGAAGATATTTTGAAGTCGGTAGCCATTGACTTCCATAGTATTTTTCCACAGGAAAGAATATCTTGCCAACATTCTTCAGAATATCTTGTGTTTGCATCAACGTGAGCTTGAGTAAATGATGACAGAATTTTCATTTTTGGGCCAACTATCCTTTTAATAAATCTGACACACTAGAAAGAGGAACGTCTCAGTTCCAGCTGTGTTCACATCGCACACCTGTAGCGCCACCTACAGTTCAAAATAGATTTTAGCTTGATGCTATGTTGTTTGAATTCTCGCTTTATTCAGCAGGTAGTTAGTTCTGCGCCACAAATTGAATTGAAGTTAATTAGATGAATGGAACCTCTGCTACGTTTCTCCTCCTTTTGTGAATATTTTTGTTAGTTTTAGTTTACACAAACAGCTCTTCATTTGTTCTCTACAGTGGAAATGAGCCTAAAATGCACAATAAAAAGCCTAATTTGGGTAAAGATCAACTTCCAAAAGCACAAACATGGAATTAATCATATCTGAGGAATTAAAGGAAAAGCTGTAATTAATGTACAGTATATTCAGTTTTATGAAAATAAAAATATATAAATACAATTTGGAAATGTTAAAATGTTTGTTAAATACAGTTTTTCTCATTTATTTTATTTTTGTAATGTGTTTTTGTAGTCTTTTTTGTACTAATACAATATTGTTTTGATCCGTTTATTTAATAATATTTTACTATTTTTCATAGTGTGATTTTTGATGAGTTGTATTAAAACCAGTTAGAGTCAGTTTGACCCACAAACATCATCATCATATTAATTACTAATGATAATAATAATAATAATAATAATAATAGTGTAGGTAAAAAAAACACAAAAATGTATGGTCCCCATTTTTTGATTCATAGTTTAAGACCAAGTGAGATTTTAATGATATTTTGACCACTGAACTTGAGATGTTTACATTTCAGAAATCGGGTCATATTGTAGCTGCAGTGTGAGTTACTCAATATTGCAGAAGCTTTTTATTAAATCAATATGACACTCGCACACGACTGTGATTCATCTGAAACTGCAAAGAAATCTCTTCCTCGTGTCATATTGCTCAATTAAACTCTGCACACTTACAGTAAATAGTTAAAACACCATTATGAAATATTAATACAATTTAAAAGTCTATTTTATATTTTGAATACCATCATTTATATTTGAATAATTTTTAAAATGTAATTAATTTCTGTGATGGAAAAAAATATATAATAATTGTATATATTTTCCCCCCAAATAAACACAGCCTTGGTGAATGACACTTCTTTCATAAATCTTAATGGTTCCAAACCTTTGACAGATTCCTTAAAATGGTGCCATAACATTGCAAAAACAGTTCACTAGTTTAAATAATATCCAATAATGTGATATTACATTCTCATTATGCTTTCTAAAGATTAGAGTCTATAAATTAATCACAATTCATTTATTCTAGCATTTCATTCCAGTTGTCAATTTACTGCAACTGCATATCATTTTGAGGAAAAAAAAAAAAGTACATCTATAAAATACAAATAACATGTTTAGCTCTTCTTTATTGCTTACTTTTAGGAAAAAAGTACATCTATAAAACACAAATAACATGTTTAGCTCTTCTTTATTGCTTACTTTTAGGAAAGGGGTCTCTTGCAAGGTGAACATCGTTTGGGGGATTTTGAAAACCCCTGCCTTCCAAAATCTAGTTATAGTTCTTTCTTTGTTGGTAATAAAAATTAAGTTCCCATAAATTATGTAAGGAAATAAATTGACTAGAAAATTTAAAAAAGACAATAAATAGAAGACAGCAAAAAAAAAGTGTACTGTTGATAGCTCTCGCTTACAGTTTAATACCAGTATAAATGGAATTGCTCAAAATAATAATAATAATAAAACATTTTGACTATTTGAAATGTTTATTTGATTTACATTAAGAAAACGTTGTCAAAACTTGAAATACTATGGACAAAACATCACAGAAATGCATTTAAAAAAATACAAACAGGTTGCCAATGTCATCTTGCCTTTGTTCGTTTTTAACTGGTTTGAGTTTCAACATAAATTTTATGTTTCTATGAAACTCAAGTTTCATACTTGCAGCATTTACCCTCTTCTCTCTTATTATCCTTCATCATCTTATTTTCTCATAGTAATTTTCTTGCAAAAACTTCAGAACACCTTCCATTATCCTTTCCAAACTCAGGCACTTGCATTTGTTGCACATGTTTTAATAGATGGGGTGCTTTTATGAATGCATTTTATAGCAACTAGGAGCTGATGACCATAGAGCAAAATGAGCATATTTTCAGTGCTCCTGGTATTGTCAGGTCAGACTGGGCACCTGTTTAACACTGTTTTCTGATAAATGAATGGAAAACAAAACTGTCAAAAAAGACAAGAAATATTTTAGTAACATAACCACATTTTCAAATGTAGTGTTAAAAATAAACACGTTTATCACATGTTTGCTTGAAACCAGTCAAGCATAAATGTTAAAACATTTGAAAATGACTGTAAAATATCTAAGCACCTTTGTCAGTGATATGAAAATACTTCGTTTGGGCAATACTGACATAAAATAATGACGATATTATGGCTATTCTGAGGTATTCTGTTATTCACTAATGTATATGATTGGTACTGCTAAAGGGGGTTGCTTTTTTTTTTTTAATCAATATTTGCTAGAACATTCATGTGACAAAAATCAAAAATGAAATGACAAATGGGTGCCACTGTTCTGTAAACCTTAAGGCCATGTGTTTATGTTTCTTGTTTCTCCTCATTCTGCACCTTCCCTTTACTCAAGAAAGTAGAAAAGCAACATGATTTGTACAGTTTTGTAGTGTCAGAACCAGAAAGCAGACCAATTTCTGTAAAAGCTTCAATGTAATATAGAATCCTACTCTGTTTCTAATCTGCTGACAAACATCATGTTTTGCATAATCTACGCCAAAAGCACAGAGCACTTTGCATATTATACTGAGGCACAATATCATGGAGGCTGCGAAAAGTCAGTTATATATTGCTAGTCACTTAAACCTTTAACGATACATATGAGGTTTGATTAACATAAGAATAGGCAAGGACCTTGATGTTCAGTGCTAAAATATGAAAGCACACATGGTTTTCCCCAAAAGGGAAAAGAGTTACAAAAAAGCAAGCAAGCAAACAAATTTTTACGGATGTTTGAACTTGCAAAGGATGGAATGTCATTTTTAAAAAAGGTTCCCATAAATAAAAGATGTTAATTAAATAAGTTTTCTTTAGGCAGCCGTGTCAAGAGTACCTAAGGTTTCTTGGTCAGGTAATTGGAAGGGAACCAGCCCTCTATCACTGGCCCATCGCTCACATTTTTGCAAAACCACCAGCCGCTACCATTTCTCTCCAGAACTTCGAAAACAGCGCCCTCTTTAAAGGCAGGCGTCTGCTCGTCTCCTTCAAAGTCCGCCACAGCTAAGAACAGCTCCTCCTTGGCCGGATCCTTGATAAGAGGTGGGAGTTTGTCTCTCGGAGGCCCTGGTTTTTCGGTCTTAATGAGGGGCTTTGGTGGCACAGGTACTTTGGCCTTGGGTTCCTCCTTCTCCTTGTCTTTTGGTTTCGTTTTGGGTGGCGGGGGTCTGCTCTGAGGAGGGGCGGATGGCTTGGCCTCTGGCAAGTCTTTTTGGGGAGCTTTGGTGTCTGTTGGACTGGCTGGCTCAGGGCTCTTCTTTGGTGGAGGAGGTCTTCTAGGTGCCACAGAAGGCCTTTGGGGAGCCTCTTTTGGTGTAGTTGTTGGTGGTTTAGTTGGTTCTGATGGGTCATGGCCGTTTTGTTGTTTATTGGGGGATTTCGACTCTTCGTTTGTTCTGCCATTATTCGAGGGAGTATCACTCTGCTGGTTGGGATCACTCGAGTTGCTGCTCAGCTCTGGAGGTTTAGATGGACGAAGCTTACTCCGAAGGTTTGTGATGTCCAGCTCATTCTTGGCCACTGGCTCTGGTTTGGCCGCAGTGGGGGGCTTTGGTCTGACCACTGGTTTCGGCTTGAGGAACGGGGCTGGGTTGGCCAAATCCGGCTTGTCTTCATTACAATCTGCTTTGGGTTTGGGAGGCTGCTTGGCCACATGCTTTAGGTTGAACTTTTTCACCTCCTTGGCTGAGATGTTGTGGCCACACAAGCCCATCTCATTGCGCAGGTAGAGTTGCTTGTTCTTCTCCTCCTTCTTCATCTCTGGGGGTTTGTCTGGCTTGAGAGGAGCAGCTTTTGGAATCACCAATGGGACGATGACTCCTGGGGTTGGTGGTTTGGGTGGGAGAGGTTTAGGAAGGTCTGCTTTGGGTTTGTCCTCCAGTTCCAGGCTCTTGTTGATGGATTCTCTCCTTGGCGGTAAAGCTGGCTTCTCTTCAGCCGTGGGTGAGGATGGAGGAGGAGGTAAGGGCCCTGAAAAAGGAGAGCTCCCTTTAACTGCATTGGGCTTCCAATCTCTCAGCTTGGAACGGGTGGAAAAATCAGAGTTGGATGAAGGTTCGTCTGGCAGGGGTTTGGACCAACTTTGCTCAGAGTTGGTATTATTGCTTGAGGTATCATCAAGCTTCAGCTGACCCATCTCACCAGGAAGCGGGGCCAAAAAGTTAGGCCTAGAGGCATTGCTAGTCTTCTTGTATTTGTCAATGAATGTGACTGGAGCCCAGCCTTCTTTATCTTCGATCTGAATGTACCACCAGCCACTAGAGTTCTTCTCAATGACCTGAGAGTACAAAATGTGAGGTAAATGTAGAGATGCATGCAGAATATCCAGATGCGTTCATTTGAGAACTAGTCAAAAATGAAAGCCTAAGTTTTGTCTGCTGTTATACTCACTTCAACTTTCACTCCTGCCTGGAAGCTAATACCATCTGGGAT